GTCGGGGACCTCCCCCTGTGTGGGGTGGAGGCAGCTTCTGGCTTCTCTGAGCCACGCGGGCACACATGGTGAGGGGGTCCCTGCGAAACAAGCCACCTGTCGCCAGAGCGGCACAGAGCCACCAGCTCTCGTCGGCAGCAAACAGCCTCCGTGCAGTCCTGGTGGGGTTCCCCGTCCCACCCCCTTGGACTGGGAGAACCAGCCTCGATCCTTTGACGTGGAAGGCTTTGGATGGTGGGGTCTGAAGAAGCCGCCGTTGAGCCAGACAGAGATGGATTCTGGCCCTCCCATGCCGTGCACAGCTCTGGGCCCCAGGTTCTCAGATGAGAGATTTCAGGTCCTATCTCAGAGGGGTTTTACCATCAAGGAATTCCGGACTGATGCCCAGGGAAGCCCTGAACAGGGTGGCACAGAGGGCGTGGCCGGGTACCCATCGTGATTCCACAAGACTGCCCAGATCCCGCTTGGGCCCTGGAAAATCCAGGAGCCCTGTGGATACCTTGGAGGTCCCAGGTCAAGGGCAGAGACAGACCGTGCAGACTAGGTTCGTTCTATAGCAGTTAGACATGAGTTGGAACTCACTTGTGGCATTTGCAGTCTTGGAGCATGGATGGGAACTCACCCCCTTCCAGAGCCCTGAGGGGGCAGGTTCAGCTCGAAGCCTGGGCAATTCCCCAGTCCTCCCTCCTCAGGGGGCCCTGGTCTCCTGGAGCATGGCTTCTCGACCTCAGCACTACCGACATTTTGGGTTGAGCAACTGGGTGTAGTGGGGTGTGGTGTGTCTAAAAATATTTTTAGAGGCAAAGTGTGGCCCTGCCACCTAGGCTGAAATGCAGGGGAGCCATCATAGCTCACTGCAGCCTTGAACTCCTGGGCTCAGACAATCCTCCTGTCTCAGTCTCCCGAGTAGCCAGAACTACACGTGCATGCCACCATGCCTAGATCATTTTTATTTTTTGTATAGATGGGGTCTCACTATGTTGGCTAGCCTGGTCCAAACTCCTGGCTTTGAGTGAGCCGCTCACCTCATTTTTAACATTTTTTTTTTGTAGAGATGAGGTCTTTCTATGTTGCCCAGCCTGTTCTCAAATTCCTGGCCTTAAGCAACCCTCCCACCTAGGCCTCCCAAAGTGCTGGAATTACAGGCATGACTCACCACGTACAGTCATTTATTATTGATATATCGAGCAATCAATCATTTATTTATTTTTGTATGAACTCTCTCTGGACAGGTTACATAAGATAAGGACACCATTCCCTCACTTACTTCCTGTCTCCTGGTTTGGGAGTGACCAAAATTCCTTTTTTCCCCCCTCCTGAACATTTAGCAAGACAAGTTTAAATATCTTCCCTGACTGCAGAGAAGTATCAAGAAAATAAGGATTCTGGACTCCCACTACCTGAAGACCATCTTGGCATGGTTTTCTCCTTTACTTACATCTTTGTGTTGATACATGTGAGGCCATGAGGTTTACCTTGTCTCGATTCCTTTTTTATTTTTTATTTTAATTCTTTTTGAGTCAGGGTCTCACTCTGTCTCCCAGGCTCGAGTGTGGTGGCACAATCATAGCTCACCACAGCCTTGAGCTCCTGGCTCAGGCCATCCTCCTGACTCAGCCTCCCGAGTAGCTGGGACTGACGACAGGTGCGCGCCACCATGCCTGGCTACATCTAAAAATTTTTTTGCCCTTTTTTTTTGTAAAGATGGGGTCACCCTATGTTGGCCAGGCTGGTCTCCAACTCCTGGCTTCTAGCGATCCTCCCGTCTCAACCTCCCAAAGTGTTGGAATTATGGGTGTGAGCCTCCCGGCCCGGCTGATTCCTTTTTAAAAATCTGTTTCCCCGTTCAGTCTTATACTGGGAGCATTTCTCCGCATCCTCAAGAGCCTCCTGGCAGATGATTTTCCATGATGACATAAGACGCCGTCACATGGAAAGACCACGCGGTATTGACCAGAGCCCTGTTGTCTGCTCTAAACCTCCAATGGCACCACCGATTAGTTGAGCTTAGGATTTCTCCCAAAGCTGCTTTAACCAGGAAGGGGGGGGGGGGCAGAAACAAAGGAAAAATCTGGAAGAGAATCTGAACGGATGTGCATACCTCCCTGCCTCCCCCTCCCCCTTCCACCCTATTTCCTGCCCTTCCCCACCCTGTTCCACCCTATTTCCTATTCCTCCTCTTCCACCCTAATTTCTGTCCCCTTCCCCGTCCCACCCTATTTCCTGTCCCCTCCCCCATCCCCGTTCCACCATATTTCCTGCCACCCACTTGAATTTCTGTCCTCCCCAATTCCACCCTATTTCCTATCCTGCATGGCCCTGGTTCTACCCTATTTTCTGCCCCCTGCCCTAATTTCTGATCCCCCTCTATTCCACCCTATTTTCTGTGCCCCACTCCCTGGTTTTACCCTATATCCTGTCCCCCATCCCTCACACAAACCCCCTTAGTTCCTGGGTATTTCCTTACAATGCTTATTTATGCATATACAAGCATCAGCAAATCAAATCCAACATAGGTGAGCTGCTGCGGTTCTCCCGGCTGGGAATGCCCTTTCCCAAACATCTGCCTGGCTCCCTCCTTCTCTGTTCAGTCATCACCTCCTCTGATGAGCCCTCCCTGGTTGCCTGACCTGGACTCACTCCCACCACCCATCACTTGTCCTCTTGTGCTGCTTTTGTTCCCTCTGGACTCCTCATGGGGTGCATTTGCTTACTGTCTCCCACTTTCTGAGTGGTTTATTATTTACAGTGTTTACTGTTTGCATCTGTCTCTCTTACCAGGGTGGGGATTTTAGTCTGTTTTCTTTATCACGGTGTCTCCATCACCTAATTATTGACTGGCAAACAGTAGGTGCTCAGTAAATAATTACTGAATAAATGAATGGATTTCAAGGATGCTAAGAGAAGAAACAAGATACTAGGATCTTGAAGGGCTGCCCACTCCGGTGGGCAGCCTCCATGGGGCATCTGTGCTCAGGGATACCAAGATGGGAAGTATGTGCATCCAGGCTCTGAGGGAGGTCCAACCTTAACTGGCAATTCCAGTCTTCAGGGCAGGCGAAGAGGAGACCTCCACGGGTCAATACAGGTGTGTCTGTGTGTGTGAAGCTGCCCCAGGGTGCTCTACGGGGCCACTACTCTTGTGGTGTCCTTGTGTTTGATCCTGAATTCTTGGCCCCGCCTTTCTCCTGCTGCTGACAGGTGACTGCCTCGGGGCCCTGTCACCTGCACAGGTAGGTGAGGGAAGGCGAATGGTGTTGAGGGCAGAGGGGTTTTTTTTTTGAGTTGGGGTCCCACTGTGTTGCCCAGGCTGGAGTACAGTGGCATGATCATGGCTCATCGTGGCCTTTACCTCCTGGACCCAGGTGATCCTCCCACCTCAGCCTCCCGAGTAGCTGGGACTACAGGTGTGCACCACCAGGCCTCTCTAATTTTTTTATTTTTATTTTTATAGAGATGGAGTCTCATTATGCTGTCCAGGCTAGGCTTAAACTCCTGGGCTTGAGTGATTCTCCCACCTCAGCCTGCCAATATGCTGGGATTACAGGCATGAGCCACTGTGCCTGACCAAAAGGGGACTTTGCAACGTGCACATCTGAGTATCGATCAAAACGTTACATGCATTTAGCCCTTGACTCTGCAATCCCACTTCTGGTACTAGACACCCCCAGGCCCCAGTTGTATCTGCAAAAGCATGAGACCAGCTTTGTGGGACGTTGCTCCCAGCAGTGTTTGTTGTCAGTGGACGGGAAACCACCCAAGCGTCTCTCAAGGAGACTGTCAAAGTAAGCTCTGGGCAACCACACCACAGAACATTATACATCTGTGAAAAAGCATGAGGAGGCTGTCTATGTCCTGTGATGGAAAGATCTCTAGAAAATGTCCTTGTGAGAGGGAAAAAAAGTCATGAGAAAGAATAGCACATATAGGAGGCTGCCCTTTGGTGTGAGGAAGAATGATGGGGAGGATAGATTTGATTATGCTTGTATTTGCATAAATAAGCATTGGAAGAATATGCCCAGGAACGAAAAGGACTGCATGTAAGGAGCGGGGGACAGGAAATAGGGTGGAACTGGGGTGGGGGACAGGAAATAGGGTGGGGCCAGGGGATGGGGGAGAGGCAATGGGGTGGAACCAGGGGGTGGGGGACAGGAAATAGGGTGGAACTGGGAGTGGGGGACAGAAAATAGGGTGTAAGGGGGGCTAGTAGGCGTGTACATCCATTCAGATCCATCCCTACCACTTCCAGGATCCAGAACAAGAGTGTGAACAAAGGACACACATTACATATACATATTTAAAAGTCAGCTAAATAGAACATGCTTTATGCTTCCACCTTACGCACACCCTTGTGACCACCAGGAAGATCAGGGTGGAATCTGGAACCTGGACGCCTGCACGGGGTCACAGCGCGGGGAGAACCAGCCCTGTACCCTCGGCCCCGAGGAGCATGAGCAGACCCATGGAAGTCCACGGACTCTGGGCGTGGGCAGGAAATTCCAAGACCTTGGATAACCAGGAGCATGGTCTAGAAAGTGGGGCATGAACTCTGGTAGGCAAGGACCCTGGCCTGTGGGGTCCACACCACGTCGGGAGGGACAGGGCCAGAGGAGGGCCAAGTGGACCCTAGAGCAGAAGTCCCTGGCCTAGGTTGGAGGCGATCACCCTATCAGCTGGCCATGTCGGTTTTTGGATCACACAACCTCTCGGTATTAAAAAATCTAGAACTGCATCGGGACCCTTGCACTATGGAAGCCGCTTCAGCACGTGGGCACGCCCACCAGACGCCCCTAGCCCCGAGGGGCTGTCCCTAGGAGTTCTGCTGAGGAGTCTTCAAGAGCTGGGGCCTCAGGCTGGCCCTGCTGGGGCTGTGTCCAGTCTGTCCCTGGGCTGCCTCTCCCAGCCATGTGGGCCTTGCAGCCTTGGCATCTCACGGGCCCCCAAGGGCCACCTCCCTGGGCACTCTGGCAGCTCCCACACGCTGACCCGGCCCCACTTACATTGTAGAGGAGATCAGTCCACCCTTCCATGGTGATGCACTGGAAAACAGTCAGCACTGCAAACAGGATGTTGTCAAACTGAGTGATCCCGTTGTTGGGCCCTTCCCAGTAGGGCTGACATTTGGTCCCATTGGGGCAGGTGCGGGCGGGTTCTTCTGTCCCACACGGAGCCGGAGACTCACCCTGAATGTCATCTGTGAAAGGGAAGGGGAGAAAAGTCAGGGTCAGAGGAAGGGGTGGGGAACACCAGCTCTGAACAATTAGAAAACCTCTGGGACAAATGGTGTTGGCAGGAACCTATCCGTCTCTTCAAAGAAATCAATGCTCAGCTCAACTTTGTTGATCTATTACTGGCTCTCTACTTCCTTATGACTTTTCTAAGCTTTATTACTTTTCTGTTCTTTGTCTAAACCTTTGAGAGGGATCAGCTTTCTTTAAGGTTATACATTGTCTTTAAGTGCAGCTTTAGCTGCATCTCATATATTTAGTCATACATGATCCCTATTGTTCAAGTGACATATTTTCCAATTTCCATTCCTTTTTTTTAAACCTATAGTTTATTAGGATGTATTTCTTTCTTTCTTTCTTTTTTTCAAAAAAAGACCTTGTCAGGTAAATATATGGAGAGAGAAAGAGAGAGAGAGAGAGAGAGAGAGAGAAAGAGAGAGAGAGAATGAATCCCCATTCCCTATGTACCTATCACCAGTTTCAACACTTCTCTACTCCTGGCCAATCCTGTTTTATCTACACCCCTTCCAAACACTTTGCTTTGCCACAATATTTTTAGAGTAAATCTCAGCTACCATATTATTTCATCCATAAGTAAGAAGCACGACTCTTAGTTTCCAAACACTTTTAGTTCTATCTTTTTGTGACTGATATCCAGCTTAATTGCATTGTGGTCAGAGGATATGCTTTGTATTCTTCTGTATTCTTCTGTGAAGACGAGTTGTGTAGTCAGTCCATAATACAGTCAGTCTTGGTCCATGCACCACGTGCTGTTGGGTGCAACATTTTCCAGACACCCATTTGGGCACATTTGTCAACTGCTTTGTGTTATTTTTCTCTAGCCTTGCTGATTTTTTCTTCTTCGTGAGATGTACTGGGCTCGGGGAGCTGTTCTGGGGGTGAGGGACACCAGCACACACAGTTCCTACCCTCGCCTGAGGGTAGGGAACAGGAGCGAAACTTCCTCCCCGAATAGCAGGAAGGCAGATTGTGAAAATGCCACGAGGAGGGAGAAACGTGCCAAAAGACGCCCCTTTTGCTGGAAACCAAAGACAGCTTCCTGGGGAGGTGGCAGCCAGGCTGGGCGCTAAAGGTCAGCCCAAATTCCTGAGGAATCCGTGGGGCGCAGAGGTAGGGAGGTTCACATTCAGCCAGCGTCCTCATTTGACCAGCGGGCCTTATTCTGAAAGTGACACTTTTGACGGTTTCAAAGAAGAAGGTGACATTGTCGGACAAGAAAACAAACAGCCGAGTGTGTAAACTCACGCTTCCTACTCAACGAAAATATATCTCAATGTATGTGCCACACGGTTTGCAGCGCCAATTCCCAGCCCCGACTGAGCAGGCGTGGCCGAGTGAAATCAGCCAACGCTGAATGAATGAAGCTGCTGGCCTTCAAGATCTGGTTGAATGGAAATTCTAAGTCCAAACTCACCACGAGTTTAAGTCACCGGAGATGCCTTCCCCATCTATGCTGGTCTTGGTGTATGGGCTATTATTCAACAAATACAGCTTAGAGGGCAATGGTCTTTTCAAGATAAGGCTCAGGGCAGGGCAGAAAAAAAAAATCCATGGGCTCCTATAATCCATGAGACCTATTATGTATGATGATATCCCTGTCTGGAACCTTCTCTGTCTTCACCCTGTGTCTGTCCAAGTCTGGCTCCATTCTGACCCCCCGTGTCACTCCTTGTGTAGAACAGTTAACAGCCCCTACCTACTTCCTTTTTGGAGACAGGGTCTCACTCTGGTGCCCAAGCTGGAGTACAGTGGCGTGATCATAGCTCACTGCAGCCTCCAACTCTTGGCCTCAACTGATCCTCCTGCCTCAGCCTCCCCAGTTGCTGGGACTACAGGTGCACATCACCACACTTGGCTAATTATTAAGCTTTTTTTGGTGGAGATGGGGGGAGGTCTCACTATGTTGCCTAGGCTGGTCTTGAACTCCTGGCCTCAAGCAACCCTCCTGCCAGTCTCCCAAAAGTGCTGAGATTACAGGTGTGAACCACCATGCCCAATCTAATTTTTAAAAAAATAAAAATGAGGTACTGCTATGTTGCCCAGACTTGTCTCAGACTCCTGACCTCAAGTGATCCTCCCGTCTTGGCTTCCCAAAGTGCTGAGATTACAGGCATGAGCCACTGCGCCTAGCCTGTTTCAGGAATATGATAGCTCCTGAATTTTTGCATTGCGGGGGGCGTGAGTATAGTCACACATGAGCCTTTGCTGCTATAAATGGCTGCAAATGGGGGGTCCTGTTTCCTCTAACTATTCTGGAAGCTCTTAGAAAGCAGGAAGCCGTCCACCTTGCCTCTGCTTCCCTCTCCTTGGCACTTGGCGCGGTGCTGGGTGCACAGGAACCAGCCCTGACGCCAAGGGAAAGGCAGCCGAGACCGCGTCTATCTTTAGCGACTCTGCCCAGTGGTGTCTGAATTGCAGTCCCCTCAGCCCCCAGCCACCAATACAGAACACTCTGGGCGTTGCTTGGAGAAAAACAACCGGCCAGAGCATCTGAGGAATTTGGTTATAAATACATTTTAAAATTAACCCGCTGCCTGGGTGTCTGTATATATCTGTCTCTTACTCACATGTCTTATATTTTTAATCGTGAGCTTTTCAGTCTTTCTCTTAAATCGAGGTTTCCTACCCTCCAGGGCACCACCCGCATCTGGCCCCTCAAAACCCCACTCGGACCCAAGTCAGCCCCGTGGCTTCGTCTCCTTCAGCTGGTCTTGGCTGGGAAAAAAATCTCGCAAAAACTGAGGATCCAGTTCTGGTTTCTCTGCTAGTACTGATTTTTGTAAGTGGCTGTACTGTATTCTCTTATTCTCTCTCTCTCTCTCTCTCTCTCTCTCTCTCATTTCCGCCTGGGTGATGAGGCCAGAAGCAGAAATAGCACTGCTTCAATTAACACCTTCTTCATTGGGGAAAGAAATAATTAGGACATTCCATATTGAGCAAACTTCACAAGCCCAGGAGAGAAGGAGACAGGAGCAAGACAGAGAGAGAGAGAGAAATCCCAGCCATCTCAAACAAACCTTCCCCATGGGGTTTCCCTCCTCCTGGGGAGAGGGAATTGGGGAGAGGGCTGGGGGCTGCCTCCGCGGGGCCACTGGGGGGGTCACTGGGTGGAGGAGGAGGTGGGTGGGAAGGATCTTCTCCCATTCCCACGGGGAGGCCAGAAGCCTCTTTCCTGCCCACCTGTGTTCCCTGTTGAGTTTCATGATTCATTCCGTTCATTCTCTCAATTTCTCTCTCCCCGACTTTTTTTTGAATCAGGGTCTCACTCTGTCATCCAGGCTGGAGTGTAGTGGCACTATCACAGCTCACTGCAGCCTCCAGCTCCTGGGCTTAAGTGATCCTCCAGTCTCAGCCTCCTGAGGAGCTGGAATTCTTTTTTTTTTATATAAAGATGGGGGTCCCACTGTGTTGCCCAGGTTGGTCTTGAACTCCTGGACTCAAGCAAGTCTTCCGCCTCAGCCTCCCAAAGTACTGAGATTACAGATGGGAACCACTATGGTGCCTGGACAATGTGTCTCCCTTGACCCCCAATGTTCAGGACTGGCGTGGCTGTTCAGTTGGCCTGCATCAGGGAGGCTGGTGGTCCAGATATGAAAACACAGAAGACATACCTTCTTGCTTGATTCCATTCTGTTCTCTCGCTTCAGAGAGTAGGTAGCTAGAGTTTGGATTGCCAGGGATGTAAGTGAAAATGTATCCGAGAGCCATGTGGCCCTGGAGTGTGGGTGGTGGGGGACACAGCCTCTTCCAGCTGCTGTTGGGAGCTGAGCCCCAGGGGTGTGTCTCCTGCCTGCCTGGCTTTTCCACTGCACACCCCACCCCTGGGGCTTCTGCTTGACCCGGCACTGAAGAGTTAATACAAGTACAACGGGGGAGGGGCAGGGTCCTGCTAAATGCTGGGGGTCTTACTCTGTTGCCCAGGCTGGAGTGCAGTGGCACGATCACATCTCACTGCTGCCTCGACCTTCTGGGCTCAAACGATCCTCTCACCTCAGTCTCCTAAGTAGCTGGGACTCCAGGTACACATTGGCTAATTTTTAATATCTTTTTGTAAAGACAGGGTCTCACTAAGTTCCCCAGGCTGGTCTCGAATTCCTGGGTTCAAGACATACTCTCACCTCAGCCTCCTGAGTAGCTGGGACTTCAAGTGTGCACCAACTTATTAAAAAAATTTTTTTTGTAGAGATGGGGTCTTGTTATGTTATCCAGGCTGGTCTCGAACTCCTGGGCTCAAGCCATCCTCCTGCCTCAGCCTCTCGAATAGCTGGAACTCCAGGCGTGTGCCACCACACCGAGCTAATTTTTAATGTTTTATAGAGATGGGGTCTCGCTATATTGCCCAGGCTGTTTTCAAACTTCTGGGCTTAAGTGATCCTCCTATCTCGGCCTCTCAAAGTGTTGGGATGACAGGTATGAGCCACCCCGCCCGGCCAGTGCCCGGCTTGGTCACACACCCTTTACCAGATGGCTTCTTTTCCCTGTGTCACCTCCCACTCCCCCATGATGCTTCCTAGGATCGTTTCCAAGTAAACCTCTTCCCCATGGTTCGCCTCCTGGGGCCTCCAACCCAAGCCCAAGGCAACAACCAAGATCTCGGGGACATTTCCCGGCTGCCTCCCTGGTGGTACTTTCTGAAGGAGGTTCTTCCAGCTGCTGGGAGAGAGAAGCAAGCCTCAGCACCGCCCTCCTGAGAGCTCGTCCCCGGGGAGGAAGCCGCGAAAGCACATGGCGCTGTGTGCACCTACCTGTCCCCTCTTCAAAGCAGGTGGTATGAAATTTTCCCATATAAAATTCTAACCCTATGATTGCAAAAATAAGGATTGCAAAAAACAGGAGGAGGCCAATCTGCAGCAGAGGGATCATTGCCTTCATGATCGACTTCAGGACGACTTGTAAACCTGGGGAAACACGGAGAGAGGCCCCATGGACCGTGAGCGAGCACCCCAAACTCCACCAGCAAGATGCCTCCAGAGGGGACCCGGGGTGCACATGGGAGCCCAGGGACTGGGCAGTGGGGAAGGGAGAGGAGGGAAGGGTCACATGGAGGCTAGTCCCTATAATAACAGAGAGCTGTGGCTGCATTTTTTTCTTTCAGAGGCAGAGTCTTGCTCTGCCACCCAGGCTGGAATGCAGTGGCATGACTTCAGGTGCTCACTGGCTAATTTTTAATATTATTTTTGTAAAGACGGGATCTTGCTATGTTGTCCAGGCTGGTCTTAAACTCCTGAGCTCAAATCATCCTCCTGCCTCAGCCTCCTGAGTAGCAGGGACTACAGGTGTATACCACCACACTTGGCTAGCTTTTTTTTTTTTTTTTTTTTTTTAATAGGAGAGGGGGTCTTGCTATATTGCCCATACTGGTATCTAACTCCCAGTCTCAAGCTATTCTCCTGCCTTGGTTTCCCAAAGCATTGGGATTACAGGCATGAGTCACCATGCCTGGCCCTTCCTAAATTTTTAAAAAGCATTTTTAACTTTAAAGTATTTTTAAAAGTATTGGACATATCCTGTTCTGTTTGATGACCTTTTGGGCAAGAAAGGGTCCTCAATTCATTACTTTCTGAGCTATGTTACTGGTGTTGGCGAATTTGCACCCAGAAGGGGGAGATATTTTCTTATTTTTTCTTCTGCCAAGAGGAGATATCTTTTCCTAACGCACACAAAGGCCCACGGAGGCTAGTCAGAGTTCCCATTCTGGCCCGGAGCAATCAGACTCGATGTTATTTCATGGGCTTCTAGCAACAACCTGATTTAGGTGCAAAATCACTCCCATTTCATAGACATGGAAAGCAAGGCTCTCAGAGGCGTGCTGTGATTCCCCCAGCCAAAAGCATGAGGAATGGCAAGGCTGGGGTCTGAACCCAGGTCCCTCTGACTTGGAGCCTGGTTTCTCCCATGCGCTGAGGGTGTTGCCTTTTCAGATCTGAGCAGACCAATTCAGAAAGATGGCGGTGACTGGGAAGTCCAGAAGGGGTGTAGGGGAACGGAGGACACACCTCATTGACAGGGCAGTAAAGACCTGAATCTGAGGAACTGTCATCTGTCAGGTCAGGCACCCCACATAAGCCCGATCCCATCAAGTTCAGCATCTATCACCTCCCACAAAACAAATGTTGCACCCTTGTTTGTTGATGACTGAGTGACTCCAGGCTTCAAATTCTTTCGGGAGAGGAAGGGATTAAGTTGATAATACTTAAAATTTCACCCTACTCTGAAAGTTCCATTGTTGTAAGACTCAGGAATGTTCATAATAGTAGGAGCTGCCATTTCACCTTTAAAAAAATTTTTATGTTTAGAGACAGGGCCTCACTCTGTTGCCAAGGCTGGCGTGCAATGGTGTGGCTATAGCTCACTGTAAACTTAAACTCCTGGGCTCAAGTGATCCTCCTGCCTCAGCCTCCTGAGTAGCTGGGACTATAAGAGCAGGCCATCACGCCTGGCGAATTAATTAATAAAATTTGTTTTCGTGGAGTTGGGATCGCGCTATGTTGCCCAGGCTAGTCTTGAACTCTTTGGCTCAGGTGATCTTCCCACCTCAGCCTCTTGGGTAGCTGGGACTCCAGGTGTGAGCCACGTCGCCTGACTCCACTACCATTCTTTTTTTTTTTTAAGTGAAGATTCGAAAATAGAGCCCAAGGTTTCACTTCTTGATTAGAAGAACTTCCCAGGGTTCCTGATGTGTAAGGGGGAGAAACTGCTGGGGTGTCCAAGACCTTGCTACTCCAAGGGTCTCCAAATGTAAATTTTGTTTTTTGTCGGGATCTCACTCTACTGCCCAGCCTGGAGTGCCGTGGCACCATCCCAGTTCACCACAGCCTCAACCTCCTGGGCTCAGGTTCCACCTCAGCCTCCCAAGGAGCTGGGACCACAGGCATGCGCCACCACACTTGGCTAATTTTTGTATTTTTGTAGAGACAGGGTCTCGCTACATTGTTTAGGCTGGTCTCAAATTCCCAGGTTCAAGTAATCCTCCGGCTTCAGCCTCCCAAAGTGCTGGGATTACAGGCATGAGCCACCATGGTTGGCTAAATTATTATGATTAACAACTGGGGCAGCAGGCTAGAAAAGGGACAGCTTGTCCAGTTTTTGTTTTTTATGACTTTTCGGCTGAACTTGTACTTAAGTCTTGACCCTGCACAGGGCAGCCTCCTCCCCCAAAGGAAGGGTAGGTGGAAACACTGCATGGGATAAGCATGGGCTTTGAAGCTGTCATTGTCAACGCGTAAGAATTCAGGTGAGTAACTTAACTCCCTGAGCCTCAGCCTTCTCACATCTGTAAAATGGCCGTTCACTGGGTAGTTGTGAGGATGAAATAAGACCACGTCTGTAAAGCTCTTTCTGAAGTGCCCTGGACACAGCAGGCACTCAATAAAGGGGAATGGTCATTGCCACCCATGTTCCAGCCCAGGCTTGGAGTCACATGGGTTAATGCCTAGTTTTGCCACTGCCCAGCCATGAAACCCTGTTCCAGTTTTTTAGACACTCTGCGCCTCAGTTTCCCTCTCTAAAATGAAGATATCAGTCCTATCCACCTCATAGGGTTGTGAGTATTAATGAAATCACAAGTGGAGCTTGGCATGGCTCTTGGTAGACAGTAGGTGTTCAATAAATGGGGGAGATTCCCCCCTCTCCCCAGCTTGCTTTCAGGAGCTTATCTGGGCTGGTAGCCATGTAGCTAGGAGTCCCCCAGGGAGCCTCCCTCCAAAAGGAGACTGCCCTCACTCAGGCTGGGAAACCTCCTGAGATGGCCTTCAGAGGGGAAACTGAGGGTCCCTGGGCAAATCTCGCCGTGGTCAAAAACTCACGCACTTGGGATTCCAGACACCAGCTTGAGCGGCCGCAGCACCCGAACTGCCCTCAGCGTCCGCAGGTCAAACTCTGTCCCAACTGTCGCCAAGATGCTGGAAGAAAGAAGCCAGAATGGAGAACAGAGGGTGGGTTTTGGGGTCAGACAGATGAACAGGGTTGCTTGGACTTGCAGGCCATCCTGCCTGGGTGGCATAGGCTGGCGGCCTTACACCAGTTTCATCCTGCAAAATGGTGTTTTTTGTTTTTAGTTGGGGTCTCACTCTGTAGCCCAGGATGGAGTGAAGTGGCACAATCAGGGCTTGCTACAGCCTCAACCTCCTGGGTTCAAGCAATTCTCCCAGCTTGCCTCCCAAGTAGATGGGACTACAGGTATGCAACACCATGACTGGCTTATTTTTTTTAAATGATTTTTTGTAGAGATAGGGTCTTGCTCTGTTGCCCAGGCTGGTCTCAAACTCCTGCCCTCAAGCAATCTTCCTGTCTCAGTCTCCCAAGTAGCTAGGACTACAGGCGTGAATCACCACAGCCACCTCGATTATTCAATATTGTCCAGGGGCCTGAGGTTTAAGACTTTGGCCTGTGGTCAACTGGTACCTGCACCCCCTTGCCTGAGGGCTTTTTCCAAAGCTGGCGCTGGTCCAGGGAATGAATGCCTCCTAAGGGAGTAGGTGGATCAATACCCCAGCTCCCTCGTACCTCATTACAGATCTCTCGGAGGTGGGAGATCTACATGGCTTCCCAGTGGGACTAAATTCGGCTGCCCATGGGGGTAACTTGTAGGACAGCTCGCCCTTCCTTGCCCCCTCTCCCTTACCAATACTTTCTGGGGTCACCTCTCGGTTGAACGACCCACACCTGAATCCTTGTTTTGGGGTCTATTCTGGGTCATTCTAAACTAAGACAAGGGGTACTCATCACCTTTTCCCCCAAGATTGGGCATATTAGGTTGGACTGACCGACTTCTCCACTATACAATAGTGTGTAACTGAGCACATTCTAGTGCTAGATTGGGTAGAGGAACACATGAGACTATCTCTGCCTCTCGGAACTGAAGCAGAAGAGAAATGTTAAGAAAGAGATGCACTGGAGGGGCGCAGTGGCTCATGCCTATGGTCCCAGCATTTTGGGAGGCCAAAAAGGGGGGATGGCCTGAGCCCAGGAGTTGGAGGCTGTGGTGAGCTGTGAGTGTGCCATTGCACTCCAGCCTGAACAACAGAGGAAGACAGTGACTCAAAAAAAAAAAAAAAGAAAAAAAAGACAGAAAGAAAGAAAGAAAAGAAAAAGAAAAAGGTACACACAATGAATGAATCCACCAGCAATGTGACAGTCTCGGAGAGATTGGGAAGGTAACAGCATTGGGAGCACACTGCGGGTTGTGTTTACGAGTCTGGGATCTGGGATACTCTACCTCAAGCTGAGGTTCACCAGATGAGAAGGAGAAATCTGGTCGGTGGGGAGGCAAGTGTCCAGGTTGAGAGAAGGGCTGGGACAGAGAGCTCGGGATGGAAAGGAACTCAGCAATTCAAAGAATGACATGTTTGATGGTGAGGGCTGAGGGGCAGGCTGTGAAGCCAGAGCAGGTGGGGCCCCAGCATACACTGTTCATGAAAAATACATTTTTACTTTTCATTTATTTTTATTATTATTTATCTGAGGTCTCACTCTGTCACCCAGGATGGAGTACAGTGGCATGATCATGGCTCACTGTAGCCTCCACTCCTGGGCTCAGGTGATCCTCCCACCTCAGTCTCCTGAGTAGCTGGGACTATAGGCATGCACCCTCAAGCCTGGCTCATTTTTATTTTTTAGGAAAGACGGGGTCTTGCTATGTTGCCCAGGCTGGTCTCAAACTCCTGGCCTCAAGCAATCTTCCCACCTTGGCTTCCCAAGGATGACAGGTGGGAACTGTGGTGGTTGGCCAACCCCCCACCCCCATCAACTTTCTGATACTAATTTGAGTTTCCTCAAATTCCGACTTGCAGGTCACCATTCTATTCCTGCATCTTACTGCTTCTTCCTGGGCCGATAAAAGCTGTCAGGGCATACACAACAAAAGGCAGGCACTGGCTGAGTCTTCGTTTATTCACTTCACAAACGTTAACTGAGCACCCACAACATGCTAGGCCCTGTCCAGGTCCTGGGAACACAAGTCCCAGGAATCCTTGCCTGTGAGGAAGACTCAGGGAAAACCCAAGAAATACAGGCATACCTTGCTTTACTGTGCATCGGTGTTTTTTTTTAAATTTTAAATTGAAAGTTTGTGGCAACCTGTGTGGAGCAAGCTGCCGGGGCTATTTTTCCATGTGCCACATTTTGGTAATTCTTACAGTGTTTCAAACTTTTTCACTATTATTATTATGACTTTTTCTGAGTCGGGGTTTCAATCTTTGCCCGGCCGGAGGGCACTGGCACAATCACAGCTCACTGCAACCTCTACCTCCTGGGCTTAAGCAAACCTCCTGCCTTGGTTTCCCAAAAGTGCTGGGAATACAGGTGGGAGCCGCCGTGCCCACGGTGCCCAATTGGTTTTCCAAATACTTTAAGCTCACTGTTGAGACCTACTGCTCAGAAAGAAAGATTCCTTTCCAAATATTATTGCTCCCCCCACAAGGCACCTGGCCACCAAGGGCCCTGACGGGGATGTACAAGGAGATGAATGTTGTGCTCTTTTTGTTTTTTGAGCCAGAGTCTCAGTCTGTTGCCCAGGCTAGAGTGCAGCAGCACGTTCATGGCCACCACAGCCTCGACTTGCTGGGCTCAGGCAATCCTCCCACCTCAGCCTTCCAAGTTGCTGGAACCACAGGTGCACACCACCATGCCCCGCTAAATGTCTTATTGTAGAGATGAGGTCTCGCCAAGTTGCCCAGGCTGGTTTCGAAACCCTAGGCTTAGGTGATCCTCTCCTCTCTGCCTCCCAAAATTCTGGGATTACAGGCATGAGCCACCACACCCGTTGAATGTTGTTTTCTTGCCAGCTAATACCACATCCATTCTGCAGCCCAGGGCTCAGGGAGTCATTTAAACTTTCAAGTCTTTTTATTTACCAAACACATTTCACAAGGCTACAGCTGCCACAGAGAGTGAGTCCTCTGATGGATCCAAGCAAAGTAAATTGAAAACCGTCTGGAAAGGATTTCACCCTTCTCGATGCCATTTAAGAACATGTGTGATTCGTGGGAGGTCAAAATACCGATATCCACAGGCTTCTGGAAGAAGCTGATTCCCAGTCTCTCACGGATGACTTTGAGGGGCTCAAGACTTTGGTGGAGGAAGGAACGGTGGATGTGGTGGAAACAGCAAGAGAATGAGAGTCAGACGTGGGACTGGACGACATGCCTGAATGGTTGCCACCTCCCCGTAAAAGTTGAACCGATGAGGAGTTGCTTCTCATGGATGAGCAAGAAAGCAGCATCTTGCGATGGAATCTACTCCTGGTGAAGATGCTGTGGGTGGTTGGAAGGACAGCAAAGAACTGAGCATATCCCATCAGCTTTGTGCATAAGGTGGGGCAGGTCGGAGAGGACTGGCTCCAGTTTTGAAAGACACTCTGCCGGGGATGAAATACTACCCAAGAGCAACTCATGCTGGAGAAATCTTTTGTAATGGGAGGAGTCAGTCAATGTGGCAAACTTCACGGCTGACTTGCTTTTTAAAAACTGCCACAAGCCGGGCTCGGTGGCTCAGCCTGTAATCCCGCGCCTTTGGGAGGCTGAGGTGAGTGGATTGCCTGAGCCCGCGGGTTCGAGACCCGCCTGGGCAGCGAGACCTCACCTCTACAGTAAATCAAAAAAATCAGCCGGGCGTGGTAATGTATGCCTGTAATTCTGGCTACTCGGAAGGCTGAGGTGGGAGGATTGCTGGAGCCCAGCAGGTCGAGGCTGTGGTGGCCGGAAGCGGCCACTGCACTCCAGTCTGGGCGACAGAGTGAGACTCCAACTAAAAAAAAAAACTCCCAAAAAACCCCCCAAAAAAACAGCCACAGCCACCACCGCCCTGATCAGTCAGCAGCCACCAACATCGAGGCAAGACTCACTAAAAGATGACGACTTGGTCGGGTGTGGTGGCTCATGCCTGTAATCCCAGCACTTTGGGAGGTTGAGGTGGAAGAATTGCTTGAGTCTAGGATTTTGAGACCAGCCTGGGCAACATAGCGAGACCCTGTCTCTACCAAAAAAAAAAAATTAGCCGGGCGTGGTGGTGTGCGCCTGTCAGTCCAGCTACTTGGGAGGCTAAGGCGGGAGGACTGCCTGAGCCCAGGAGGTCGAGGCTGCGGTGAGCCATGATTGTGTCACTGCACTCCAGCCTGGGTGACAGGGCGAGACCCCAACTCAAAAAAAAAAAAAAAAAGGAAACAGGTGAAATTAATTTTAATAATATAGTTTATTTAACTCAGTGTATCCAAAGTATTATCGTTTTGACAGGTGATCAATATGAAATATTATGAAGACATTTTACACATACTCTTCCTTGCGGTCTACACTTACCGTCATGTCTTGATTCAAGTGCTCAAAGGGCACTTGTGGTCAGTGGCAACTGTACCAACACAAACCCAGAGGAAGAGACATTTGGATAAAGATCTAAAGGAAGTGAGGGGTCTAGCCAGCGAACGTCAGGGGAAAACTCCAGGCAGAGGGAGCAGCCAGGGCAAAGCCCTGAGGCTGTACTGCACCTGTCACATCTGGGAAATGGCGTTGAGGCTAGCATGACTGGAGCAGAGTGAGCGAGGGAGGGAGAAGGAGGAGTCGAGAGCAGGGAAGTGACGGGACAGACAGTGCAGGGGTTTGTGGGTTGTGGTGAGGATGGTGACTTTTGCTATGAATAAAGTAGGAGCCACGGGGTGGGGTTCTGAGTAGAGGAGGGATGTCATCCGACTTATATTAAAATACGATCCCTCTGGGGGCTAGGCGTGGTGGCTCACACCTGTAAGCCCAGCCCATTGGGAGGCCAAGGCAGGAGGATAACAAGCCCAGGAGTTTGAGATCAGTCTGGGTAATATAGTGAGACCTTGTCACTTAAAAAAAAAAAAAGTTGGATGTGGTGTGCCTGTAGTTCTAGCTACTCAGGGAGGCTGACACGGGAGGACTGCTTAAGC